GGAGGGGGAGTGGAATGGATGGGGGGGAGGGGGATGGATTTGGATGGGGAGTGGGGATGGGAGGGGGTGGACGAGGAGTGAAGTGGATGTGGGAGGGAGTGGAGTGGATTGAGGAGGGGTTGGAGGGGGGAGTGGTGGAGTGGATGGTGAAATTGTTCACTTTTGGTGATGGTGATGATAATGAGAATGATAATGGTGTTGCTAATGTAATTATGATGATTATGATTAATGAATATTTTGATATAATTAGCATTTGTATTATCATTGTTATTGTTGTTATTATCCTCATCAGGCTGTTATTATTATTATTATTATTGGCTTTAGTTTTTACGTGTTTTATATTTGTTATTCTTATTATTATTGTTATTGTCGTTGTTATTGTTATTATTATTACTATTATTATTATTATTATTATTATTATTATTATTATTATTATTATGATTATCACTTTTATCTTTTCAAATGTTCTTTTGTAGTTCTTATAATAGGTAATGATAATGATTTTCATTGTGATTCTGTTCACTATTACAATAAGTATTAATATCATCATCATTGTCATCATCATCATCATCGTCAAGCTTCTGTTACTTTTAGTAGTTGTAATAATAGTAATTGTTGTTGTAGTAGTTGTAGTCTTTATTGTTGTAGTTGTAGTAGTTAGCAAGTAGTTAGTAGCAGTTAGTAATAGTAGTAGTAGTAGTAGTAGTAGTAGTAGTAGTAGTAGTAGTAGTAGTAGTAGTAATAGTAGTAGTGGTAGTAGCAGTAGGAATAGTAGTAGTAGTAGTAGTAGTAATAGTAATAGTATCAGTAGTAGTAGTAGTTGTTGTTGTAATAGTAATAGTAGTATCAGTAGTAGTAATAATAGTAGTAGTAATAGTGATAGTATAAGTACCATCATCATTATCATCAGTCATCAGATCATACCGTTGTCATCACCACATTCATCACTCACCACAGATCACCATCAACCCCTCTATCCATCAGTCAGTCATCACAACCCAGATACCACAACACAAACGAAGGAGATCAAAACAAAACAGAGATAGAGGGAGAGAGAGAGGAGAGAGAGGGAGAGAGAAGAGAAGAGAGGAGAGAAGGAGAGAGAAGGAGAAGGAGAAGGAGAAGGAGAGAGAGAGGGAGAGAAAGAAAATAAATAAAGAGGTAATAGAGAAAGAGAGACAGATACACATACAGATAATGAAGAAGAAAGATATATATATGCTCGTAACCCTTCACACAGTTTAGTAAATGATTCTGTAATATGCCTTGATTAACAGTGTTTATATTTATATTTTCCTCCACGGTATTAAATCGTCTCATTTTGCACCAAACGAGAGAAAGAAAAGGAACAAGAAGAAGATTAAAAGGATTTACAACCCGCCACGCAAATAAAAGCCATTTATCAAGACGAAAATAATAACATCTTCAACATTTATTTCCCTTCAAATCAAATCAAAAAGTATTTGCCAGATTGAAGGCCTTGATTAAGTGTTTTTTTTTTTTTCTTTTTTTTTTTTAATTAATGATCGTGTTGTTTTTTCCCCGGGGCATCGAGCAGCTTCTAACCCCCCCCCCCCTGTGCCCTGTGCCCCCCCCCCCCCCCCCCTCCTGTTGGTTGCAGCTGCCCGGCGCTCTCTCTCTTTGTCCTCGCTTCCTCCTGAAGGCGTGTGGGCGTGCGTGTGTGTGTTGTGTGTAGGTGGGTGGGTATGTGTGTGTGTGTTTGTGGGCGTGGGTGTTGGGTGGGTGTGTGTGTGCGTGGGTGGGTATGTGTGTGCGTGGGTATGTGTGTGCGTGGGTGTGTGTGTGTGTGTGTGTGTGTGTGTTGTGTGTGTGTGTGTGTGTGTGTGTGTGTGTGTGTGTGTGTGTGTGTGTGTGTGTGTGTGTGTGTGTGTGTTTATGTGTAGTATCTGTGTGTGTGTGTGAGTGTAGGATAAGTGTGTATGTATTTTACTTGTTTGTTTTATTTGTTTGTCTGTTTGTTTATATTTTTATGGTCGATCTGTCAATCACTGTTTATCTATTTGTATGTCTATATCTATCTATCTATCTATCTATCTCTCCATCTGTCTACCCATCCATCCATCTGTATGTCACTATGTGTATATCTATCCATCAAGCAGTCTATCTATCTAGCACACTCCTCCCTCCCCCTCCCCCACACACATAAACACACACACACACATTTCTACGCACTCACACATGCATACAAACACACATGAACGTGTGGTGGACGCGTTATGTGTTGCGTATCACACCATAAACAATACACCGGCCGACGGGAGGGGAGAGGTTGGAGAGGGAGACCCCGGGGTTGGGGGTTGGGGCTGGGGGGTATAAGGAGGGTGGGGGTTGGGGGGTTCGGGCTGAGGGGTTATAGGAGGGGTGGGGGTTATAGAAAGGGGGTGGGGTTCATGGGGCTGGGGGGTTATAGGGAGGGGGTGGGGTTCATGGGGCTGGGGGTTATAGGGAGGGGGTGGGGTTCATGGTTGGGGTTGTAAGGGGTTATAGGGAGGGTAATGGTGATAGGATTAGAGAGGGAGGGTGAGGGTTATAGGAGGAGGTGGGGTTATAGGAGGGAGGGGTGGGGTCCATGGGGTGGGAGGGGTGTCGCGGGTGATTCGTAGCGCGAGGTGACGAGGAGAGTGTCGTCGCCGCGGCCAGTGTCCCATGAATGACCGCCGTGCCGCACTTGGCCGCAGTCCGCGTGTCGGTATGCGGGGGGGGGGGGGGGGGGGGCGAGGTCGTCGGCGGGAAAGGTCGGGGGAGGGAGGCTGTTTGGTGGGCGTGGGGGCGGGGGAGGGGTGCATGTTGGAGAGAAGTGTGATGTGAAGGAAGAAATGGTGGGTGATGGATGGTCATAATGATGATAATGGTGGTGATTGGAGAAATGATGGTTGTGATGATGATGATAGTGTGTGATGATTTGAGAATGGTGGTTGATGAGATGATGGGTGGTGTGTGATTAAAAAAATGGCGATGGCGATGACGAGGAAGTAATAACGATGGTTGATGACTTGAGAATTGATAGATTTCAGAAACAACGAAAGCGATAAAAAAAGAGAAATGCCGAGAATGACGGTAATTAGGAGAGAACGACGGATAATGACCGGCCACTTTCTTCTCCTCCTTCTTCTTCTTATTCCCTTTCTTTCTTTTTTTACTGAGAGAGGGAATCCGCGCGGGAAGCGAGGGGCGGGAGCGGAAGAAGGGTTTTGTGAATGGATTCGGCGGCGGTGAAGGCGGCCGTTGATCGGAGCGGGGCGTCCCATTCATTAAAAAAGAGGGGGGAGGAGGAGAGAGGGAGGAGGGAGGAAAGGGGAGAGGAGGAGGAGAGGGAGGAGAGGAGGAGGAGGAGGAGGAGGAGGGGAAGGGAGTAGGGAGGGAGGAGGAGAAAGGAGGGAGGAGGGAGGGAGGAGGAGAAGGAAGGGGGAGAGAACAGAGAGGGGGGAGAGGGAAGTGGAGGGAGGAGGGGAAGAAGTAGGAGGGAGAGGAGGGGATAGGTGGGAGAGGATAGGAGTAGGAGGAATAGAGGGAGGGAGGAGGGAGAAGGAGAAGAGGAGGGAGGAAGAGGGAGGAAGTAGGGGAAGGAGTAGGGGGAGAAGGAGGAGGAAGAGGAGAATAGGGAGGAAGGAGGAGGAGGGAGGGAGGAGGGAAGGGAGGAGGAGGAGGAGTGAGGTGCATGCCATGTTGAGACGCCCCATTCATCTCCTGTTGCCTGTAAGTCTATCGTCAGTCTCTTTCGCCGTGTACCCGCTGTCTATTTCGAGTCCCTCCCTCTTCTCTCTCTCTCTCTATTATATATATATATACTGTCATCTATCTATTTATATATCTATATATCTGTCTGTATCTATCTATCTATCGCTAACTTTATTATTTCTGTCTCCAGATCTATTATCTTAATCTACACATCTCCCTCCCTCCCTCTCTCTCTCCTTCCACGTCTCTCTCTCTTCCTTGCCACCCTCTTTTACCTACTCCCTTCTCCCTTCCCCCACCCATTCCCCTTCACCGCACCTTCGTTCGACTCCTCCCCTCCTCCTCTCCCTCTCCCCTCTCCCTCTTCCTCTCTCCTCTCTCTCTCTCTTCTCTCTCTCTCTTCTCTCTCTCTCTCTCTCTCTCTCTCTCTCTCGTTCTCTCTCTCTCTTCTTCTCTCTCTCCCTCTCCCTCTCTCTCTCTCTCTCTCTCTCTCTCTCTCTCTCTCTTCTCTCTCTCTCTCTCTCTCTCTCTCTCTCTCCCTCTCTCTCCCTCCTCTCCCTCCCTCCCTCCCTCCCTCCCTCCCTCCCTCCCCCTCCCTCCCTCCCTCCCCTCCCTCCCTCCCTCCCCTTCCCCCCTCTCCCTCCCTCCCTCCTCCCCTCAGGTCCCTCCCTCGGTGCCGTGAGATCTCCCTTGTTCACCGTTTGTTTACATCTGTCGGGGCGTCTCGAGGTTGGCCTGTGTGGGCCGCCCCCTTCGTCCTTGGCTGGCTCCCGTCGCGCCTCGTCCCCGGGTGCCGAGGCCTCTTCGGGAGTGGCACTGTGTCTGTCGGTGGCACTTATTTGTTCTTGTTCGTGTTTTTTTTTATCGTCTCTCCTTCCTTTCTCTTCTCTCGTTCCTCCTCTCCTCTCCTTTTCCAGCTCTTTCACATCCTTTCCTTCCCCCTCTCCTCCTCCCCTTCACGTCCTCCTTATCACCATCTCGTCCTCCTCCCTTTCCTCCTCCTCGTCCTCCTACTTCAGGCAGAATTATGTGAGAGAGAAGTGGAAGAGGAGAATAAAAGGAAGAAAGTAAACAGAAAAAAATAGATGAAAAAGAGAATTGGACATGAGAAAGTGAGGATTAGTGCAATTGTCCAAACAACAATAAAAAAATAGATGAAAATGGGAGATAAGTCTCCTTTGACGAAGATGTTGTCATACTTATGACTATTCATCTCTCTAGTTTTTTTTTTAGATGATCGTTATGGCAGATAGAGAGAGAGAGAGAGAATAAAAAAGAAAATAAAAATTCCTTTCCGGCTTATGACTTTCATTGTCGTGTTGCGCGGAGCCAGGGAGCATAATCTTGCCATATTTGGGGCTTGCTTGTTGCCTGCTTGTGCTCCGCCGCGTCGCCTCGGCTTTGGCTTCGGCTTCGGCTTCGGCAGGTTTCGTTTTGGGTGATTTGAGGTCGTCGTGCGTAAGGGTGATTTTTGCGTGGACGTATGCGCGTGTGTGTGTGGTGAGTGTGTTGGTCTTCGCGCAGGCAAGGATGTGCGTGTTTATGGATGGCACTCGTTGGATCGGCAAGGGACCAAGGCAGACACGCACAGGCACTTACACTCACACACACATACACGTACTCCTCCTCCCCTCTCCCCACTCCTCCCCCTCCCCTTCCCACTCCCTCCTCCTCACCCTTCCCCCTCCATATCACCCCTCATATCTCCTCTCCCCTCCCCCTCCTCCTAACCCTTCCCCTCTCCCTCCCCCCTCCCCTCTCTTCCCTTCCCCTCCCCCTCCCTTCACCTGTCATCCACCTCTTTGATCTGTCGGCGTCCTCATCCAGCGAAGGACCTTCCGGGCGTGCATCCTAGTTGGGGCTAATCCTCTCACAGGACGCCGCGCGGAGCTGCTGTAATCCCCCTCCCTCCCTCCCTTGTCCCATGGCACACAGGGAAGGGGGAGGGGGGAAGGAAGGGGGAGTGGGAGAGGAAAGTTGAGAGGAAGAGGAAGGGAAAGAGGAGGGAATGTGGGTGCATGTGGAAGGAAGGTGGAGGTGGAGAGGAAGGTCTTGGTTACTCCTTTCCCTTCTCTTCTCTTCTCTCTTCTCGCCTCCTCTCCTATTTTCTCTTCTCGTCTCTCCTCTCGTCTTCTCTACCCGCCCCCTTCATTTCCCTTTCCTCTTCTACCCTTCCCATGTTTCCTCAGTGTCAGGTATTCTATAAATGAGTGATAATCTACGCTTGCACTCAAATTACAGTAATGGTGAGGCTAATGAGGCTAATGGCGGGTGTGCCCTCATTTGCTTCATCCAAAGTACACGGGTAATTAAGGTCTCATCCTCATTATCATCATCACCCTCATCATTAGCCATATCTACGCCTTTCTTTATTAGTGTGGAGCTTGCGCTTTTCCCTCCGTTCACTCATCCTCCATGAACTCTTCCACGTGCGACTGTCGGTGATCGCTCCTCCGTGTCTGTTCCTGAGTGGGAGGTTGTCTTTAGGCTTTATTTCTCCTTGTGTCGAGTTTGTGTTGTTGTTGTTGTTGCTCTCATTATCTTTAATGATGATGATGATAATAATGGTGATGGATATTATCATTATTGCTAATATTCATGATAACGATAATGATAATCCTTGTTTTGATGTTTTTGTTGATGCTACTGTAATGAGTGTTATTACTAATGTCCTTATTCCTCTGACGATTCCTAACGCCGCCCTTCCTCCCCCGCAGACCGACCGAGGGCGCCCGACGGCGAGGCCCCGAAGGAATGGTGGCCTCGGGCCCGGCGGCGACGGCTCGCAGCTCCACTCCTGCTGGCTGCTGATCCGTCCCCCGCCCTCTCGCCCGCGCCCACGCCCGCGCCCGCCTCGCCCCGCCCCAACGACCGCAGACGACCTCCCGGCAGCCGAAACGGGCGCCCGCTGACAGCAGCGCCGACCCTCGTCCACGGGCGTCGCCCCAGCAGGCGTCTGTGATGACCATGGCAAGCTCTGGCAGCGGTGCCGGGGACGCTGGCGGGGGCAGGAAGGGAGGCTCCCGCGCCCCCCAGCCCCCCGAGGAGGAGCCCCTCCAGCCCCCCGCCGCCGCCACCGCCGCCGCCGCCACCACCGCCGCCGCCACCGCCGCCGCCGCCGCCGCTACGACCGCCTCGCCCGCCGTCTCCTGCGCGGGCAACGTGTCGGGTCTCCCGCGCGCCAACGACAACTACGAGGAAGTCAGCATCATCGGCAACGGTAGGGCTCCTCGGCTCAGGTCTTTTCGTAGATTCAGAGCAAAACGTGATTAAATACAAAAAATGTTAAGAATGTGATATATATACATTTTACGTATATTTTACATTCATTATTACATAAACGAATCAGTATGTAGAATTTACACTCCCACCCACACCCACACATCCTCCTACCCACAAAACCCTCCGACGCTCCGAAACCCCCGTGCTTGCGTCCCTCACCACAGGTGCATACGGCACGCATATACACACCCACCTACCCACCCACCCACAGGTACATACGGCACACACCCACACCCACGAAACAACCCCACCAATAGGCCTACATACCCCTCTTTTTCAACGTCCTAACCCCTGTGCCTGCGTCCCCCCCCCCCCCCAGGTGCATACGGTACACACATAACACACCTACCCCCACACCCCACACCTACCACCCCGACACCAATAGGCCTACAAACAAACCCACCAATAGGCCTACATACCCCATATACCCCCTCTTTCAACGTCCTAACCCCCTTGCCTGCGCCCCCCCCCCCCCCACATTAACGTAGGCCTACTAACCCCCTCTTTGCTTTGCTTCCCCCCTACAGGTCATACGGCACGGTGTACTGCGCGCGCGACCGGAACAACCCGGACCGCGTGGTGGCCCTCAAGAAGATTCGAATCACCCTCAACGAAGACGGGGTCCCCGGGAACGCCGTCAGGGAGATCGCCCTCCTCAAGCAGCTCGAGCGGTTCGAACACCCCAATATTGTCAGGTAAGCTGGAGTTTTTTTGATTTTTCGTTTTTTTTGTTTTTGTTTAGGGGGGTTAGGGTTTGGATTTTTTGGATTTTTTTTATTTTTTTTTTTTTTTTTTGGGGGGGGATTTTAGAGTTTTTGGATTTTTTTGGTTTTGTTTTTTGGGGGGTTATTTTATTTTTTTTTTTTAATTTTTTTTTTTTTTTTTTTTTGGGGGGGGATTTTTGGGTTTTGGGATTTTTTGCCTTGGAGTAAGATTTACTTCGTTTTTTGTTTTGGTCTTGTTTTGGTTGCGGGGTTATAGATTTCTAGCCCGTTAGGTTGAAGGTGAATGGACCTCGAGGGAGAGATGCAAAAAAAGGGATTTAATCAGCTTCACTTTGGTACGCGAAGGAAAAAAAATAACGAGTTTGGTACCTTTCGTGTCCGATTTTGAGACAATATAGGTTTTGCGGAGAAAGGAAGGGCGTCGATTTTTTTTTTATTGTTATTTTTTTATTCTCCTTCTGCTCTTTCTTTTTTTCTTCTCGATGTATATGCCATTTTTCGTTTTTCGGCGGGGGGGGGGTGATTGGAGAGAGGCGAGAGGAGGGGGTGGGGGTGGTGGGGAGGGCCTTCTTACTGCTCGTTCCTCTTTTTTTTCCATGTTCCATCTCTCCTCTTCTTCTTCTCCCCTTCCCTCTTCTCGACTTCTCTTCTCCCCTCTCTCCCTTCCCTTCTCCCCTTCTCCCCTCCCTTTCCTCCTTCCTCCTCCTCTCCCTCCCCCTCTCTCCCTTTCCTCTTCCTCCACCCTCCATTCCTCTTCCCCCCCTCTCCACCCCACCTCCCCTTCTCCCCCTCCCTGCTCCCACCCCCCTCTCCTCCACATACCCCGCCCAGCCCCCCGCCTCCCCAGCCCTTCCCCCCCCCCCCCCTCGCTCTTCTCCCAGGGTACGAGGCAGTGGACAGTGACGAACCCCCGGCCCTCACGCCCACCATCTGCCATGCGGGCGCGTTCGAACGGAATGTTGAACCTGCCCTTTTTGTTGCGTTGAACCTGCCATTTCTGTTTTGTTCAAGATGGGGAATGAGCGCGGGTATGCGGGGCTTGAGGGAGGAGGAGGGGGTGGGTGTGGGGAGGGGGGAGAGGGGCACTGTGGTTTAAAATCCTCTTTTTTTACTTTTTTTTTTTTTTTTTAGATGCGGTGTCTGTTTTTTTTTTATCTCTCTTTCTCTTTCTCTGTCTTTCTCTCTCTCTCTCTCTCTCTCTCTCTCTCTCTCTCTCTCTCTCTCTCTCCTCTCTCTCTCTCTCTCTCTCTCTCTCCCTCTTCTCCCTCCCTCCCCTCCCTCCTCCTCCCTCCCTCCTCCCTCCTCTGCCCTCTCCCTCTCCCTCTCCCTCTCCCTCTCCCTCTCCCTCTCTCCCCTCTCCCTCTCCCTCTCCCTCTTCCCTCTCCCTCTCCCTCTCCCTCTCCCTCTCCCTCTCCCTCTCTCTCCGGGATCCATAATACCCGGTGGGAATATGCCTCGGATTTTCTCTTAGCCGAAAAGAATGTATTAGAAATCGTTGTTTTTAAAGGAAGTAAAAGCTTTTTTTTTTTTTTAAGGTCCTTTAAAGGGAGTCGAGAGCATTTTTATTGTTTTACTTTTTTTTGGGGGGGAGGGGGGAGGGGGGGGAGAAGCGGCTTGTTAATGGAGTGATAATGGCCTAGAGGTTCCATACGGACCTTGGACAGAGCACAGTAATGAGGATCGTGTCAGAATGTGGCTGAGGAGGAGGAGGTGGAAGGAGGAGGTAGAGGAGGAGGAGGAGGAGGAAGAGGAGGAGGAGGGAGGAGGGGAGGAGGAGGAGGGAGGAGGAAGGTAGTGGAGGAGGAGGAGAGGAGGAGGAGGAAGGAGGAGAGAGGAGGAGGAGGAGGAGGAGGAGGAGGAGGAGGAGGAGGAGGAGGAGGAGGAGGGAGGTACAGGTACAAAGGAGGTAGAGGTAGGGGTGGTGGAGGAGGAGGAGGAGGAAGGAGAGGGGCAGGGGAAGGGTAGGGAGATGAGGAGAGAGAGAGAGGGAGTGGGAGGGGGAGAGAAAGGTGGGAAGAGAAATGAGTGAAGAAAAGAGGTGGGGGGGGGGGGACGGGGGAAGTGAGGAGGCGTTTTTGCGAGTGGCCGCTTTAACTGGTGTTTATCGGGTTGTCGGCCGGAGGGGCGATAGCGGGTCACGGCGCCCACTCATGGCTGGCGGTGGGCGGGCCGAGCACATGTGGTGGGCGACGGGCGGCGGAGGGCTGGTTGGCGGGCTGGGGGCGAGTTTTTCCCCGTCGCGCCTCTACATGGCCGGGGCGAGGGCGGGGAAGTGCCAGCGTCCATGTTTATTGTTTAAAAGGGTGAGGGGTGAGGAGGAGGAGAGGGGGAGGGTGAGGAGGAGGGAGAGGGGGTGAGGAGGAGGGAGAGGGGGAGGGTGAGAAGGAGGGAGAGGGAGGGGTGAGAAGGAGGGAGAGGGGGAGGGGAGAAGGAGGGAGAGGAGAGGGGTGAGGAGGAGGGAGGGAGGGGGATAGTTTTTTGTTTGTGTGCGATCAGGGTGTTGGGTGGGGGGGGTCGGAGGAAACATGGGGCGTAGCGAGGTCTTGGGTCCTGACGAGCGAGGCGAAGGAGGGCAGAAGGAGGAAAATCCACGTCTTTGGAAGGAGGAGGAGGAGGGAGGGGGGAGGAGAGGAAGGAAGAAGGAAGAGGAGGAGGGGTAGGGAGGAAAGGGAAGGAGGGAGGAGCAAGGAGGAAGGACGAAGAAGGAAGAGGAAGGAAGGAGGAAGGAGAAGGAGGAGAGGGGGGAAAGGGGAAGGAGGAGCCGCAAGAGAGATGGACGGAAGGAAAGACACAGAAAGTCAGCACCGAAAGACTTAAATAAAAGGCTTCAAAATACAGACAGACGTAGACAGCGACAGGAGCGTAGAAGGTGCAGGAGGCACTGATCATCCTCGTGGGCGTCCGTCCATCCGCCCATCCGCCCCAGGGGGATTCTGTCATGCGCTGCCACACGGAGGTCCTGGGGGGCGAGGGGGCGAGGCCTCTGTGCCTGCAGGGGGAGCGAGCTGCGGGAGGAGGAGGAGGGAAGGAGGGAGGAGGAGGAGGGAGGGGAGGGAGGAGGGAGGAGAGGAGGGAGGGAGGGAGGGAGGGAGGGAGGGAGGAGGAGAGAGGAGGAGGAGGAGGAGGAGGAGGAGGAGGAGGGTGGAGGAGGTGAAGGGGGAGAGGGGGACTGGTTTGATGCCCCTGGGAATGGGGGTTCATCTCTCGACTCGGGGGACCTCCAGACACCTCGGCGATGCTGTGTGATAGCCCCAAGATGCCCCGGTGCCCCTGACGCTACGTGTCCGGGCGCCCTTCCCACAGCAGCGGACATGCGGCGCCGATGGAAAATGATTCACGGTCCGGGCGCCGATTGGCAGAAGGGAGCCGGAGGAGGGAGAGGAGAGGGAGAGGAGGGCATTCCATCCCGACGATAGGGAGGGAGGGAGGAAGGAGGAAGGGAGGGAAGGAGGAGGAAGGAGAAGGGAGGAAGGAGGGAGGAGGGAAGGAGGAGGAAGAGAAAGGGAAAGAGGAGGGAAGGAACGAGGGAGGAAAGGGAGGGAGGGAGGAGAGAGCGGGCTAAGAGAGAGGGAGGAGGGTAGGCGGAAGGGAGATGGGAAAGGGGGAGGGAGGAATGCGTCGGGACTGGCGAGGAATCCCCGAAATGGAGGTCCGAGTTTCACGAAGTTTTCTCGCGTCGACACCGTCCTGCAAGCCTCGACGTAATCTCATGACGCGCTGCCCTGTTCTAAGAGGCAACGATTCTATGCGCTATACCTGAAATCCTTACGGTTCATTTCAGTTTTTACGATTTATTTAAACACACAAAACATTTACGATTTATTTCAGTAAACACAAAAACATTACGATTTTATTTCAGTAACACAAAAAACATTTACGATTTTTATTTCAGTAAACACAAAAACATTTTACATTTTTCAGTAAAACCAAAAACATTACGACGATTTTTATTTCAGTAAACACAAAAACAATTTACGATTTTAATTTCAGTAAACACAAAAACATTTACGATTTTATATTCAGTAAACACAAAAAACATTTACGATTTTATTTCAGTAAACACAAAAAACATTTACGATTTTTATTTTATTTTTTATTTTCAGTAAACACAAAATTTACATTTTATTTTACGATTTTTTTTTATTTCAGTAAACACAAAAAACACATTTACGATTTTTTATTTCAGTAAACACAAAAACATTTACGATTTTATTTCAGTAAACACAAAAACATTTACGATTTTATTTATACAAAAAACACAAAAAACATTTACGATTTTATTTCGAAACAAAAACATTTTTTATTCCAGTAAACAAAAACATTTACGATTTTATTTCAGAAACAAAAAAACATTTACCGATTTTATTTCAGGAAACACAAAAACATTTAGATTTTATTTCAGTAAACACAAAAACATTTACGATTTTAAACACAAAACATTTACATTTCAGTAAACACAAAAACATTTACGATTTTATTTCAGTAAACACAAAAACATTTACGATTTTATTTCAGTAAACACAAAAACATTTACGATTTTATTTCAGTAAACACAAAACATTTACATTTCAGTAAAACAATTTACGATTTTATTTCAGTAAAACACAAAAAAACATTTACGATTTTATTTCAGTAAAACACAAAAAATTTACGATTTTATTTTCAAAACACAAAACATTTACGATTTTATTCAGTAAACACAAAAACATTTACGATTTTATTCAGTAAACACAAAAACATTTACGATTTTATTTCAGTAAACACAAAAACATTTTACGATTTTATTTCAGTAAACAAAAAACATTTACGATTTTTATTTCAGTAAACACAAAAACATTTACGATTTTATTTCAGTAAACACAAAAACATTTACGATTTTATTTCAGTAAACACAAAAACATTTACGATTTTATTTCAGTAAACACAAAAACATTTACGATTTTATCAGTAAACACAAAAAAACATTTTACGATT